TCCGGTGCTCCGCATAGCACGGACAATAATTTCGCGACCCGGGAACAGGTCGGCAAAAAGGCGCTGCCTACGACGGCTCGGGTTACAGCGACTGCACCATGGAAGTGCCGGTGTGGAAAATCACACACATTGTCCGGCCTCATTAGTGGCACATTGTCGTACACCAGGCGATGTGCCGCCACGGTCGCCGAGTCCTCTAAAATCTTCACGATTGTGGATTTTTCAATGTCGATGTCGGCCTTCGTGTCACTCGAGGTTTTGATGATGACATTCCACCTTTTTGAGCTAGATCCAGACGACTGTGGAACCGAACGTATTGCGCTTAGTTCTGACTAAGTCTGATCAGACGACCATGGCAACATCATTCGGAACTCGTAGATCAGAATCATAATATCCATAGACGGATTCGGGAGCTCAACTCACCATTTTTTTTTCGAAGATCGAAAGAAACGTATTAGAATAATTGAGGATTCACGACGGCTTAGAGGAGATGACGAGCAACAAAAATTTTAAATCGACCAGCTTATACACTCCATGTCGATAGTTAAATTTGATTAACGCAATCGGAAAATTCCAATAGTAATTAATTTTAATTCAAGGGACTATATCGGACCACGTTAAATATTATTAACCCTGGTGGAACATAGCACCCACATCATAATGCGCTCACACGAGCATGATGCCCCCACCATATAGGGTAATGCATTAGTTTTGTCCACTTGACAAAGATGTCATATATTGTCTCTGACCTGACATTGACCTTACATTGACCTGACATTGACCTGACATTGACCTGACATTGACCTGACATTGACCTGACATTGACCTGACATTGACCTGACATTGACCTGACATTGACCTGACATCGACATGACATAAGCTTTTTATATAGTTCCTAGTTTAGGAAAACTCCTGAGTAGCCTACGTAGGATCCTCACCCTAAGTAAGCTTATCATGGCCTACTAAGCGAAGTGACCTTTAGAAAAATCTTTCCTACACATAAACTTCATCTATAGAGCTTAGTTTTGGAAAACTCTTGCGTAGCTTATGTAAGCCTACGTAAGATCCCTATGCTAATAAGTAAGCTTAGCATGGCTTACCAAGCCAAGTGACCTTTAGAAAAATCTTTCCTACACATCTAGAAAGTTCTTTTCCTACACATGTAGAAATATCTATAGGGCTTAGGTTCGGAAACGTCCTACTAAGCTTATACAAGCTCATGTGAGCTTAGTAAGGTTAGTAAGCTTATGTGAGCCTCGTATGCTGGTTATGCTTAGTATAGCTTAGTGTAGCTTGAGTATGCTTAGTAAGGTTAGCAATTCTTTTCCTACACATCTAGAGATATCTATAGCTTCTTATATCTATATCTATAGGGCTTAGGTTTGGAAAAGTCTTAGTAAGCTTATGTAAGCTTATGTAAGCTTCGTAAGGTTATGTAAGCTTCGTAAGCTTATGTAAGCTTCGTAAGGTTAGTAAGCCTTTGTAAGCTCCATATGCTTAGTTAGCTTAGTACAGCCTAGCAAGCTTAGTGACCTTTAGAAAAATCTTTCCTACACATAAGCTTCATCTATAGAGCTTTGTTTTGGAAAACTCTTACTAAGCTTATGTAAGCTTGTGTAAGCTCCGTAAGCCTCGTAAGCTTATGTAAGTTTCGTATGCTAGCCTCTTTAGTCGCTCGGCTATGTTCGGATAGGCCGCAGACAGTCTAGTTAGGACTTCCTTGTCCTTCGAATTCGCCTCATTCGCGACTACGACTCTGACCGGTGCGGGTGCTAGAATACTTCGGGTGCAAGTCTTCGTTTTTACGAATGCGTCCTTTACCCAGTCTCTTGCAACCAGTTTAACAACATCTGCCTCGCAGGCTATCTTTTCTATTTCTTTTTCTAGTTCGGCCTGTAAAAGCCCTCCGCGATTAACCTCTTCTAGCCTAGCTACTTGTTTCCTCAATTCTGCAATCTCCTTCTGCTGTTTACATCTTTCGATCTCCATTCGTTCTATTACGAGGTTGGTTTGATCATTTTCAGCTGTAGGACTTTGATTCCTTTCCCTAAGCTCGGCTAATTGATCATCTCTATCTTGTTCATTATCATACCAGGCTCTCTGGATAGCCTCGACATTTCTCTCAACTTTCTCTGCTTTTGCTTTGATTCCTGTCTGAGTATTTGGGCATTCTATTCTGCATGCATAATCCAGGGCCGTTGCCATGTCCATGAGAGTCCCTATTTCAACGGAAATGAACGAGAAACCGGTCTTTCTCCCTTTGACTTGCTGCGAACCCCGTCTCTGCATTTCCGTCTCTGAATCCTCTACTTCGATTATTTCTGGAACTTTCTTATCTTTCTCGCTCGGATTGCTGGTTTTTGCATGCCCCGCTGGCGATCTAGCTAGTTTCGAGCTCCTGATGAAAGGGTTTTCCACTCTATCAGGTTCGGACTCTGCAACTGTGCCGCCTGCGGTTGGTTTCGCCCGGTGTGACCGGGCTATCTGGGCTATTTTTGCCTTCTAGTATGAGAAGTCGATCAAATTTAACGCCAACGGTTTATTGACGCGGCTTTTAGATCAAAATTACACTTTATGTGAAGATTCCTGCTTGGAGTGATATTTTCAACACTAAATTAGCTCTATCTCCGCTCTCGAAGCTCGGAGAAATTTTTTAATGGCAGATTCGTGCTGCTTAGCACGTCCCGCGCCTTTTGTACACTTCAGATATTTTAGGCCTAACGCTAAGCCTAAACTAGAGATAAGGGGAAATTTGTATTTTTGACTAGAAATTTGAATTCCTTGCCCCCGAAATACCCAGGGACTTATTCCCTGCGGGGCACTGACCCTGAAAATTGGTGACTATAACTTTCTATTTGGATGGACCCTTGGCCCTTGGCCTGACTTGGGAAAACAAAAAACGAAGTCTAACTAAGGGGCCACTTTTTGTGGCTTAATCAAATCAAAATTTAACGACGATTATTTTTTGCCTTCGCAACTTTCCTCAGAGATCCTTAGATTTCCGAGAAAATCCGAAAAAAGAGAAGGTTTTCCTAGGAAAGTTCAATCGCTCACCCACGCTGCGAATCGTTTGCCACACGACGCGACAGCGCTCTGAAGTTGTTGAATCTCCTTTTTGCTCACTTTTTGGTCTCTAATCTCCACTATTTCACACTCTAAATTATCAGTTTCCCGCACCGAACTCCTATCGGGGTCAAAGGTCAACCCAGGAGTGACGTCGGCTGTTTCGTCGTCGTCGCTGCTCGGTGGTTTCGAATCGAGGGTTTCGGGCGAGGGTTTCTGTCCGCTGAG